ATGTAAGAAATGCCGTGTTGGAGTGCTGGACTCAGAGGACCTGTAAAAGCAAGTCAAGAGAATGACAGTATGGTGTTATTCCAGTAAGTTGTGGTTCGTTATTGTCTTACTTTTGAATAATTCACCAAGTAGAATGACCAGTACGGTGTTATTCCAGTAAGTTGTGGTTCGTTATTGTCTTCTTTTGAATAATTCACCAAGAGAATGACCAGTATGGTGTTATTCCAGTAAGTTGTGGTTCGTTATTGTCTTCTTTTGAATAATTCACCAAGAGAATGACCAGTATGGTGTTATTCCAGTAAGTTGTGGCTCGTTATTGTCTTCTTTTGAATAATTCACCAAGAGAATGACCAGTATGGAATAGCTCTTCGTTATTTTGTATTGAAAACTGTTTTGATTTTTTTTTCCAAATTAACTTAAGAACCATTTTTTGTTTCTCATGTCAAAACTACTCAGGAAATTAAACTCAAATTATTCTATTGAAAAGATAACTGAAATTTTAACTTTGCAAAGAAAACTGTAGGATCATTTAGAAAAATGAAACAAACATTAATGTAGTATGTACTTGTAATAACTGTTCAGTAGGTAACAGAATTAATTTTTAACTTTTAAGCTACTACTGTATTTTTTTTATCTTATATAGTTTGCTGGGTTTGATAGTTATTCAAGAGTTTAAGGTTTAGTAAGTCTTTCTGCTACTTACACAAATTACTTTAAAGTCAGTTAAGTATTTAAAAACTTTTTTGCCACCATCAAAAAAGAAAATCTACAATGCACAAATCAAGAGAATGCCCGGCATGGCCAGGTGGTTAGGGCACTCGACTCGCAATTTGAGGGTCGCGGGGGCGAATCCCCGTCGCACCAAACATGCTCGCCCTTTCAGCCGTGGGGGCATTATAATGTGATGGTCAATTCCACTATTCGTTGGTAAAAGAATAGCCCAAGAATTGGCGGTGTGTGGTGATGACTAGCTGCCTTTCCTCTAGTCTTACGCTGCTAAATTAGGGACGGCTAGCACAGATAGCCCTCGTGTAGCTTTGCACGAAATTCAAAACAAATCAAGAGATATTTCATTTTTATCGGCAGCTAATAATGTGCTGAACACTTTATTATGTGTTATAATAATAACACAGGTACTCTTCTTTCATTTAAAGAACAAATTTGATTCTTGCTAACATTGGACATTCATTGTGAAGTGGATCTTAGATTACAATTGGTTGAAGTACGATTTTTGTGATGGTAAGAAAGTTTTCTTAAACTCGGTGAGGAATAGTCTTTTAATTTACCTTGAAGAACATCTGATTGTTTCTTACATTCCCAAACATTTACTTTGTGTTAAATAAGTAAGCTCTACATTTGAAGTTTAATATATAATGTTCACTACAGATATTTTTAAGAATTTAACTTCAATCATGATTTTTCTTATGTATAGGCCAACACTCAACTTAAAACAGGATTGGCTATTAGTATGGGATCTGGAAAAACGCCAGTAAGTAGCATAATCCTTTTTTTTATTTTGATGTCTTGAAATGCATAATTATAATAACAGGAGTGGAAGTTACCATTCTAGAAAAAAATTGAGGAAAATTATTCATTTGAGATACATTTTAATACTTCAATATTTTCCACACAAAATCTATAAAGTTCGGTTTTAGGCTTACATCAAATGACAGTTAGATAATAGACATATCTCCTTGTAGCTAAGTGATACTGAAATAACCAAAAAGTGTTAATCCTACATAATTCATCAACATATGTAATAATCTTAACACAATTATTTATTTAATTTATAAACAACTGTAGCCTCGTTATGATCATATTACAGGCTCATGTTGAAGTTGCTCTCCAAACTACCAATAACACCATTATCAGAACAGTGTTGATTTTTGCAGAGGGCATATTTGACGGAGAGTGTCACGTAATGTAAGTGTCACAATTTCCCCAATGAAATATCACGAAAGGTAAAAATATTTGTTTATTGTATAAAAGTGTTATATCTTGATGCGTGATGTAACGTTTGGTTTAAAAGTACTTGTTCACTTGTAAAAGTCGATGAAATAATGCATTCCTTAGTCAGAATTCTTAACAAGAAATCATATGTTCAGTTACTTAGCGAAGGAATGTCAAAGAAACCGGTGTTACTTTATAAATGGTAGCAATTGTTGTATACAAGTGTTTATTATGTCTCACAAATATTGTAACAAATCAGTTACTAATGTTGGTGGAAAATTAGAGAATTTCTAGATTGATATAGCTATAGAAAACTGAATTTGTTTTTCTTGTTCACGTTCAAAATAAACTGCTGTTAGAATTTTAGGTAATGTCCTCAAACATTTAAAAAAAAAATGTATAAAACAAAATGGCGTAAAAACTGTTCACCAGTATGTTTAAAATAAGTCAATGAAGTATGTTATAAAATCATATTTCTTTGTCTGATAGTCTTTATATGCAGCAGTTAATTTTTTTAACTTATGGGCTGGCCGTGGCCTATTTAGAGTGTCCTCGGTTTGTATCCCATTCTTAAAGATTAAATAAATAAAATAAATATGCTCCATAATGTGAGTCAGTGGGTGTGTTGTACGAGTGGCAGTCAAATACTACTATTCAGTTAGAGTAACCCATATGTGGACAGTGGGTGCTGTTGATTAGCTGCCCTCCCTCTTAGTCTATCAGCTCAACATTAGGGGCATCTAGCACAGATAACCCTTGTTTAACTTTCCACAACTATCTGATTAATAAAAAAATACGTAGCCAAGAACTCTGCAAAATGTGTTTATAAAATTTACTGTGAACATTTACTGATCTTTGTATCAAAACATGTGCAATACATTTGAATCTTGGATACAAGGGTTTAAGAAAAGTCTTTCTTTGTCAAATATTTTAGAGTATACTCATAATTTATTTTTTATTTTTACATGTGTTATTTATCAATGGTATATACAATTTCAGGTTTTATAGTTCCTGTTATATATATCTAGACAAGTAGACCTATGATGTTGGTTATATAGTTCCTGTTATATACATCTAAACAAGTAGACCTATGATGTTGGTTTTATAGTTCCTGTTATATACATCTAAACAAGTAGACCTATGATGTTAGTTTTATAGTTCCTGTTATATACATCTAAACAAGTAGACCTGTGATGTTGGTTTTATAGTTCCTGTTATATATATCTAAACAAGTAGACCTATGATGTTGGTTATATAGTTCCTGTTATATACATCTAAACAAGTAGACCTATGATGTTGGTTTTATAGTTCCTGTTATATATATCTAGACAAGTAGACCTATGATGTTGGTTTTATAGTTCCTCTAATATATCTATTAATTTTACAACTAGATTAAACTAACTGAGATCAAGTAGTTTCTGGTTATTAACCAGTTATATTTTCCTGGTTTAATTTTTGAATATGATTAAAGTTTCAATATTTGATTTCCATTAAACATACAGCACGTGTACGGTTATTTAGGCGGTATCTGAAACATCCGGTAACTCTGTTGCTCGGTACTTTCTTCGAGTTTTTGGTGACTTATTCTGTTTGTTGATTGGAAATTTTATCTGATTCCAGCCACCCAAAGGAGAGTCAGCTGAACTCCAGCCTAAGAATTCCTCTGTTTCCACCAAAGGATGTTCCGATAGATCTTCATATTAAGGCCATGGTTGGCTATAAAGGAAGGTGAGACATTCAGAAATATGTTGATGATGTTTAATGTGATATGGTTTTCGTTAGAAGAAACTGTGATTGTAATGTAGAAACACCTCATCAGTAAGGTTAACTTAATCAGTATGAAAAGATTTTATGATTCTTTTTATTATTGTTTAGTAGAGTTTAAAAAAATGCATGGTTTTAGATTACTGTCTTTTTAACTCTTTTTTTTTTCCTAAATTTTAATCCAGCTTGTAAGTGTGAAACTATGCATACCATAACTCTGAATAGACTGACGATTATGATACTCGACTCGTAATCTACAAGTCACGGGTTTGAATCCCACCATGAAACATACTCGCCCTTTCGGTCGTGAGGATGTTATGGTCAATCCCACTTTTTGTTGATAAAGAGTAGTCTGAAAGTTGATGGTGTTGACTAGCTGCCTTCCCTCTAATATATCACCTCTTAATAGGAGACAGCTAGTGCAGTAGATCTCAAGTATATAAATTGTAAATATAACTCTGAATATACTTCGTGTATCTTCATGAAAGTTGGCAAGCTTTTAGTAAACAAAATTCTGTTCTATAAAAAAAAAAAACCATTTGATTTTTTAATGAATTATTTTTACTAAAGATTTTTCTGTAAATCTATAAAGTCTTTACTGAGCCAGTGAGAGTATTAGGTTATTCTCATGCTAAGAATAAATTTCTTAATTTCATCTTAAAGTTGTCATATTTCACTTGCATAACTCCTGGAAATTCCTAAATGAATATCAAAACTTTATATTTTTATCTGTTATTTCCTCTACCCCAACACCAATTGTAAGAAATTCATCAATTTACAGTGAAATAAAGAGTTGAAACATAATAAGTAATACCTTACTTCTTCATTGAATACATCAATTGTTGCCAGACCTTCAATTGAAGTATCTTCACAAATTAAATTGTTAAACTTTTCCCATCTGTTCTATTGTTTTACTGCTGGACTGTGTTCTTGGGAAGCTGTTTTAACTCCATGAGAAGTAATGAATCACAGCAAGGATCAATATCTATTTCTCACCCATAGATAATGTAAATACACCAATAAGTTTAACATTGTTTAAGCACACAAGCTTGAGTGAGCTCAAGTTTATAAGCTCATGAAACTTAATTTTTATATTATAGGTACTTTTATTTGAAACAACGACAATAAGTATAACATTTACTTTAGGTATTGATACTAGAAAAATATATCAGGCACTAGAACCAAATGTCCCAAAATTACTTTAACTAATTCCACTTTCTAACTATAGATATTTTAAAAATTCCATTACTGATAGGAGCAAGGATTTTACTAAGTACACATCAAGCTTTTCTTGCAAGCTATCGTCTTTAACTATCAAATATAAACAGGTTCCTGTACATTATAATGTACTCTTTTATTGGTTATAAACGTGTCCATAAGACAAGTTTAGTGATAAATAGCATGAAAATTGGAAGGGGTTCTTTATGGAGTTATACTAATTTATTGATATCGTCAAGAAGTTAAGATGCTCAAATGTTATATTCTTTCTTGACATTATGTGTAGTTTGTATTTCTAATCGGTTGTAAGCCTCAGCAGCCTATTTATGATTATAAAATATTCTAAAAAGGAGAAATCAAAGCCGGATGTGCCATGTGACATTGAAACGTACGAATTTATAAATTTTTTTAATATTAAAATTTGAATTATAAACTATGTTTTGATGCTAACTTTATTGACATACATTAATAGCAAAATTGTTTAATTAAATTTTAAGTGTAATTCTGTAAAAGGTCATGACATACACACTCTGACCCCGTCATACATATATGGTTAGATCTTTTAATATCAGTTTTTAATTTGTTTTTTACCTTATAGTATGCACTACCATATTTTTGAACTTACCCGCCAACTCCCACGCTTTGCTATGTATGCTCTGTGTACAGAAAATGAAACAAAGTTGGAAGAACCTCGGAGCACAGTCACTTTCGTTGTCAATGATAGAATACCAAGGGTAGGATAATTATGAATCCTTTCATGAGTTTTTTTTTAATATGTATTGATTAATCCTTAATTTTCTATACCTCATCCTACACAGAACCATTGAAAATTATAATTTGATCTTTTTAGATGTTAATTTTTTACAAGTGCTCAAAAGTTTCTGTAATTTTAATATTGTAAAGTTACAGTTTAAATTCTGAAAGCTGGTAAAACATGTAGTCCTAAAATTTGTGATAAAAATATTTTGTTTTAATATTGTTTTGAAGTTTTTATGGGAACTTGGAAATTCATGAAAAACTGAATGAAGTTTTCTCTGTTTTGTTAATTGCAATGAAGGTAGTTTTTGTTTTTTTAGAAATAAGCTCAGTAATATTCTCAGAAAAATATGTATCATGACATAGAAAAAAAAATTACGAAATTTTAGAAGCTAAGAATTTGACTTGTTTAGTTTTATATATGTGTTGAATTTCTATGAATAATGTTTCTCATTTTCAGGTTGTCATGTGGATCAACCAGAACTTTCTCTTGCTCGAAGATCTGGAGGTCAAAGGGAAACTTCATGTCACCTTTCTTTCTCTTCGTACATCCCAGCTGCTAGTTATAAATATGGACACAGGTGGTCAGGTGAGAGTTAAACATACATAAGTAGGTTATTTCATACTGGTAAGAGAAATACGTTAATAACGCTGATGTTATATTTCATTTGACGTTTTAGTGCCATACTCTTGTGACCAGAAAACTTGCTTTAATCTTATAAAATCTTCGACTCAGTTCTACATGAATGATTCACTGTACTTAATATTTATTACTGAAGAAAAATGTCACAGTTTTGGAATATTTAGATATTTTATGCGAAACATCGGTTATATTTAGTTCTGGTTCATTGACTATTCATCGTACGAAAGGCCAAATTAGTCTCAAGTTTAGCGTGGTGGGCTGGAGATTGGAAAGTTCAAGGTTAAAGCCACAGTATGCCATTGAACATGCTCCACACTTTCAGTTGTGGGAACTGTTGAGTTGAGAGTACGTATATAATAGACAGCAAGTGGTGTCGATTGGTTTACGTTTTTCTTTGGTGCATACTTATAAATTGGAGATTTAAATGGCTAAATTAGTCTCAAGTTTAGCGTGGTGGGCTGGAGATTGGAAAGTCCAAGGTTAAAGCCACAGTATGCCATTGAACATGCTCCACACTTTCAGTTGTAGGAACTGTTGAGTTGAGAGTACGTATATAATAGGCAGCAAGTGGTGTCGATTGGTTTACGTTTTTCTTTGGTGCATACTTATCAATTGGAGATTTCGATAGCTGAAATATAGCCCATGAGAAACTATTCAAGTTAAAAATACCATTATTATTATTGAAAAAAAACTACATACACTGTAATATACTTTCATAATATTTGGTTTCGATTCACAGGTAGGAGAAAAAGCAAATTCAAAGAAAGATTGATTTTTAGATTGTTTATATTTTCATGATTTTTTGGTGGACAGAATAAACCTGATGTTTTTACATGCTATTACTTAACTCCCAAAGCTGCTGTGCATTCAAGGTTAATAAAACAAATTACTCTTTAGGAGAAAACTAATTGTTCAGCTGGTCATAATTACGTAAGAATGGATTTTAAGTGGTTTGATCCCTACCTTTAAATTGTTTTTTTTTCTCTCCTCCTAAGCCCATTATGGAATTATTTAGACATTTATATTTATCACTTCTTTTACCGTACTTCTTGGACGTTAGTTTTAGGTTCTACATGTAATTACAATATGTAATCCAAGAACTTTTTCATCTAGCTTGCTTGGGTATTTTACATCATATATAGATGTAGTGAGCCAGATCTGTCTAGTTTGTTTGGATATTTTACATCGTATATAGATGTAGTGAGCCAGATCTGTCTAGTTTGTTTGGATATTTTACATCATATATAGATGTAGTGAGCCAGATCTGTCTAGTTTGACCAGGTAGATATTTTTATCAAATCTGTACACAATCAGGTAGATATTTTTATCAAATCTGTCCACAATCAGGTAGATGTTTTTATCAAATCTGTACACAACCAGGTAGATATTTTTATCAAATCTGTACACAATCAGGTAGATATTTTTATCAAATCTGTCCACAATCAGGTAGATGTTTTTATCAAATCTGTACACAATCAGGTAGATATTTTTATCAAATCTGTCCACAACCAGGTAGATGTTTTTGTCAAATCTGTCCACAACCAGGTAGATGTTTTTATCAAATCTGTCCACAACCAGGTAGATGTTTTTGTCAAATCTGACCACAACCAGGTAGATGTTTTTATCAAATCTGTCCACAACCAGGTAGATGTTTTTAAAATCTGACCACAACCAGGTAGATATTTTTATCAAATCTGTCCACAAACAGGTAGATATTTTTATCAAATCTGTCCACAACCAGGTAGATGTTTTTATCAAATCTGTCCACAACCAGGTAGATATTTTTTCTTGATAAATATGTACATTTTTGTTAATGCAGATGAAAGTTTCTCTATTTTTTTTGGACAGGTTACCATCAAAACTGAAGATATGGAAGTAGCTGGTGAAGTCATTCAGTCAATGTCACAGTTTCTTAACCTCGAAGATCTGGCTGTAACAGCCGAGTTTTCTCAAGAAATGGAAAATCTTAGCAACCTGTTAACAAAGGTGAAAATTTATGTCACTATTTTAACGGTTAATCTTGTGTGAGTAAGGTTTATTTGTTGCACGATGGTTGTTAATATGATATAAAGTTTATACATCAGTCTTTAGTCATAGCAAAGATTTATATCATTGTTAACATTCATAAAATACATAAAAACAGTGTAATTTTATAAGCTAACCCATTTTCAAAAAACCTTAAACTGCAGTTTTTAATATTTGTTCTACAACTCTTAATTAAATTTAAAGAAATACGAGGCATTAAACATATTTAGATGCCTTAAGAGAATTATCAAAAAAAGGAGTCATTAAAGAAACTAGTATAAAATACCTAAGTTCCTTGGGGGTTCAAAAAACCCCCTCGATAATTCATAGAGACCCCAATGTACCAATAAAACTCTTCCGTTATCCACAATTACTTCTATAGTTACCACTCAGGGATGTCTGTACGAGAAAAAAACAACAACAACCTCATGACACTTGTCTGTTGTACCCGAGCAAGCGTGCCAAACGTATGGTGGAATTTGCTCTGGTCCGAGGTCACTGAGAAGGGTTGAGAAATGATATACATCTGTAAGAAGTGGGGGAATGGACTGATAAGTTGCTTTTCATATTTATTTTTGCAATCCTAAACAGCTTGTCTGCTAAATAATTCATAAGAACTAATTATTAGCATCAGTGCTAAATATTCTTCAAATCCTGTATAAAGATAGATTTACTGTAGTGAGTAAAACACAGCGAGAAACACGATACATATAACTACCTAGTTACTCAATGAATGTTATACAGTGAGTCGTAAAGTTGAAACTAACACCGTAAGTTTGGAAATATCTCCTGGGAAGAATTTTAAACTTTTCTAATTAATTTAAGACTTGTTCTCAAGTGTATGTGAGGTCATGAGTTAAAGATAATATCAGTGTTTTTCTGTTTTAATTGTTTGTTACACTTACACTAAAACATACCAATATATGCTTTTTTTCCGATATATTTATTTTGACGTAACATTATTCAGGACCAATACCAGGTTGTTTAATAGGTGTGATAAAAGAGTGGGTAACTTTGTTGTGAAATATAAAAAAAAACCATCATGTAAAATTTGACAACGTAAAGTGTTTCGCATAAATCAGCATCAGTGCTAGCAATTTCAGCTGTCAACTTGTGGAAAACTTGACATGGAAGAAGTTTGTGTAAACAGTTTTTAGTTTATCCATTACATCTCTACATGCCCGTGGATATTATTGGATGAAAGAACCAGGCAAGATCTAGTGGCTAATGTGCCCATACTGTGTATTTGAGGGTTCATAGTTTACAGCTTGTTGCTACACTTTGAAGCAATAGATGCATTAAAAGAGTGACAGTCAAATCTATTCAGTTGCACAAAAGTAGCCCAAGAGTTGGTAGTGGGTGCTATTAACTAGCTGTTTGTTCTCTACTCTATTAGTTCAAAATTAAGGATGGCTGTGCACAAATAATCTTTTATATAGCTTTGCACAAGGAAGTCTGAAACAAACAAAAGCATCAGTTCCACACGTAGATAATGGGACTTGTACAATCTCTTGGAGGGTTAAGTGTGTTATATTAAAAAAAATTTGGATATGAAAATTGGCAAGTCACAAGGGAAACCGTCATCCTGGTACACTAGATGAATTATGTAAAGCATGCAGGGAGGAGTGTTGTGTTTTGGACATGACAGTTTTACAACAAATCAGTTTGTAGTGGCATCTGTGCTGCTGGAATGTTGTAAAAATGTATGGTTATCAGATGGAACATAACTAGTTGGATTGTGATGATGTGGTGAAATCCAAAAATGGTTTTAATATAAAGTACTTAACCTCTGTATAAGGTTCATTGTTTGAATGTTTAGTTCAAGAAGTGAAGATGCTGAGACTAATTGTGTGGCCACATTGTTAACTACAAGGTATATTGTCCTTTAGGTAGAAGAACTCCAGTCAGTACGACAGCGTTTATCAGCTGACATGGCAGACAACTCTGGTGTCATTCGAAGCTTGGTCATCCGTGCGGAGGATTCGCGGTTAATGGGCGACTTGTAAGTGTACGGTTATTTGTGATACCCATTTCAACATAAATATTCTGCAGTAAAAAACTGTGCAAACAACATGTAGATAGATAAATATTGAAAGAAAGGAAATACAGATGTTCTGTACTTAAACTATTTCAATCATTCTGACAAAACGTGTTTCTCTCCACTTCCTTAACCCTATCGTCAAAGGTCGTGTCATTGCGTTTGTTGACTCGCATTCAAACTGTTA